ACAGAAACTTAGGAGCCTATAGAGATTCACTCAGGGAGGAGACTGCAAATGTAACCCCTGACTGTGTGTCACCACCTGTCCTCCTTTGGATTTATCAGGTCACTGTTCTGTGGCCCCATAAGTCCCTTTGGTGTTTGAAACCAGCGTTTTCATCAATTCTAGTCCAATTCTGTAAGGGAAAACTTGTTTACATAGAGTTTGTTTATCCTTGTACAACTTTATATGATGGATAGGATAATAAATGGGTTCTTTGCTAAGTGGATTCTGAACATGTCCTAAAAGCATGGTTCTCACCTGAACAGATACTTAGTGAGATTATGCTCAGTGGTCCTAGGCAGAATAGAACCAGGCAGGGTTAGGGTTAGGGTTGCAAGTGGGGGGGGGAAAGAGACAAATCTGGTAACTCCAGCAGATGCTTTCCTGTCTCTTATCCCTTCCCTTCTTTTCATTAATGAAAATATCAGAATTAGTCAGACTTGGGCCAAACATCCAAAGATGCATTATGAGAAGTGTGGCATTGCAGCTGGAATAGAAGATAGTCTCTGTCCTTGAGGAACTTCCAAAGCTAGTTAAGGAGGCAAAACACAGCTGTTTGAACCCTCTTACAGCAAAGTATGTCCAAGTGCAAACCAGTCATTCAAAACAAATATAAGTGGTGCTGGGGATACAGAGAAGTAGAATAATCTCTCCTGGACTGTTTCTGGAAGTGTTAAGGTGAATCGAATTTCAAAGAAAGGGAGAAGCCTATGAACTGACCACAAATTGGCAGGGAGAAAGAAGGAATTTCTTAATTTTAATATACCCTTTTAATCAATCAGTTTCTTGAAAAGAGGGTACTAATATTAGTTGCATTTTGCAAATACAAATACTGTCTTTGAAATAAACTGCCTACCCTTCTGTTCCAAGTATAGGAGATGTGCTTTAATAATAAGATGACTTTAATAAAAAGATTTTTTAAATGGAAAATTTACTGGCATAGATATATAAAAATAAGGAGCCCAAATCATCCTACCTTACCTTTTTTAAGATATTTAAACTTCAATCTTGTGATTGTTTCCCCTTTTTTTGACCTTTTATTATAATATATAGAGACTGTTTCAGACTAAATTCCCTAAGTCTCTACTGATGGAAAAAAGTCTATCATTAAATTACATAAAAACATTTTCCTTCTGAAATAAGAGCTGATTTGAGCTGCAAGGACTTAAATTCTAAGAAATACCAACTGTTGAAATAATTTATTCCACTTTGTTTGCATTGTTTTGTTTTTTCAGAATGGGAAATGGATTTTAAGTTCTTTGAGGCCAGTGACTTTTTTTTTAAAGGAGAAAATTAAGTCTTAGTTGTGTTTTTCAAGTCATTCAGTGCAGATTACACTCTCGTTTACTAAACATTGGTTTTAATTCATGATGGTTTTTAGTCTGTATTAGATATAATTGAATTACCTTTTAGTTAACAGGCAGGAGATCAAATGTACAAATTTGCTGTAATAAACTTTTAGAAAGTTACCTAAAACAGCTATTCTGAGAAATATTTCCATCTATGATAGTTTTCTTTTGTTAGAAGAATCTATGTGGAACATTCTAGGGAAAGGCCTTGGTATGAGTCTATTGAATATGTTCAGCAGAGCAGAGAAACCTCCCATTCTGTTGTGGTAGGTTCAGAAGTCATTTTTTACCTGTTTATCAGAGGAAAAAAAATTTTTCAGATTTTCAAATACGTTGTAAACATGTTCTCCTAACCTCCTGAAATTCATTTAGCCTGGGGTAAAGGGAAACAATCATTAGGGGACATTTGGGGATTGTTAGAACATGTTTTCAGGACCCTACGGGGCCTGGATCCACTGAAGGCCGGCTCAGGCATGCCCTGTGCTTCCCACTGTCTGCAGTTTAAGGCCTGCGCTGAGTCCATTAAGCTATTCCATAACTGACCTTCTCAAGTGGCTTTCGAATCTTTAAATTTGAACAATATGTGCTCCTTAAATCATTCATATAGAGTGAATGAGTGTTTGCTAATGGAGGACGTAAGTAGGACACTAAGGAAAAGTGGCAGGCCCAGATTCTTAATCTGGAGTTCATTGCTTCACTTCTAACTCATGGAGTTACTGTGAGGAATAAGTGAAATAATGAGAAGTACCTGGTTCTGGAGTTGGTACTCTCCGAATGTTCGTGCCTGCTCGCTCCCTCTTACTGGTAATGCTTTTGCTTCACGTTTTTATGAAATACTTTAATTGGCTTTATCAGTACCGATAGTGTGTATGTTTAACTTGAACAATTTTTAAAAAGATAAGGGATTCCTAGCAGAATACTCCTAGTTAATTTTAAAGTAGAATAAGAAAATACATACTTGTTTTGAGATAAAGTTGAAGCTTGTTTTCCATGCAGTTCAAACTTGTCACTTTTTTTCTTTTAGCCTTTGGAAAGTTTCACATTAACAGCATGAGAACTTAAAATTACAGTTGATGTTGAAAGAGCTTAACTAAATATTTTAAATTGGTGGTATTGGAAAGAGATTCTGTAAAAATCCAATTAAACTTTTGAAAGCTCTGTCCTGTTGAAATAACTTAAAGGAAGTCAGTTTGGTTTCCCAGAAGTACTGTGCATAGTGTTTCTGGCTTAGGAAGAAAGGCTCAAATCTACTATTTGGCCAGAAATTGGGTACCAGCTTCCTCTATGATGTTTTACTTGAGCGGTGTTGACACTTGAACAAATCCCATAGAAACTGCTCCAAGTGGGGAATAGTTGTCCTTGCTTTTATAGTAAAGACTTGGCCCCATAACTAACGTCCCAGACACTGCTAGTATTCTTGGCTGAATAATCTATAGATGTGCATAAATTGAGAGCAAAACCCCAAATGTTTTAGGAACTTTAATGGCTACCGTTTTTCAACCAATCAGTAAAGTAAACTTTTAAAAAAATACGGTGCAGTTTATTGCTTCATAGCCAATAAAAATAGTGAACAGAAAGAGTCTAGTGTCCCTTGTTTCTTAAATAAACTCTGAAAATTCAGTTCTCTTGCTATTTAATTATTAAATGCAAAAGACTAGAATGATTTCTTTTATAATTGGAGCACTATAGGAATTTTTTTCCTTGCCTCAGACATCAGAAATAACTTTCTCTTTCCATTAATTGACAGTGAAGTATTTAACCAACATGTTTGTTTTTGCGATTTATTTTTCATGAGGAACAAAAACAAATGCTTGGGCAAAAAGTTAATTTTTTCTCTTTGATTTACATTTACAAGAGTGAGAGCTAGATTTACTCCTAGTATTAAATATATGTGAATATGAATTGAGAGAAAAGGTTTATGTTACTTAAAATATTTGTGTTAGCTTAAATTCTTAGAATTCATAATGAGAAGAAAATTGAAACATTTTTAAAATGGAAATTTATTAAAAAAAGAATTTCTGTCTTGGTTCAGAGCCAGAGGGGAGGAGAGAGGAAGGAGGTTTGGGGATGCATACCATAAAAGTTGAAAGAAAAATCTCCTAGGAGATAATAGGTACAAATTTCAAAGAGTTATTCTGGCCCTTCTTTGTCCTTAACGGGATTTTGTTTAAGAGTAAGAGTAGTTATCAGGACAGCAAAAATTAACTACAAGCTATAGAAATCTCAGTTGATGTGGACAGTGGACAGTGTCTTTTAAAATTTGGACTTAGTTGAGTACTATTACAACTTCCTGAATATGATGCTGCTAAATCAGACAGGTGGTTGGGTTTCATTTTGGTACTGAGTAGAGTGTTCAAAGTGACTTGGAGGCTCTTCTCTTTCACAAGAAAACACGTTTTAAGGAATTGAGGAGTTTGACAATTCAGAGTTTTAAAAGGTATCCATATAAAACTGAGCAGTAAGCCAACAGTAGTACTTTAATAAGCAAATTTATCTCACAAACTTTCAAACTAACAAATTCAAAGAAAATTCTAAGATAATGAAGCATAAATATAGGAACTTACTAGTTAATGTTCAGTGAAACATCCTCAGGTTTTGGAATTTATTTAGGGGAATACCTGATCTCAGTTAAATAGGGCTAGGACTAATTAGGGAGTTAAGACTGCATTATCAATATTATGTGGATTTGAAAGATTAGCAACTAGCAAACTTCAGACAACATTAAGAATAATACAAATTGCAGTGGGATTGTGGCCTAAATGTCAATTTATTCTAAAGTGAAAAAGCGCTGTGAAAGAATAGGGAGATTGAATGATTAGAGACTTAAGGTATAATGCGTGTAAGCTCCATGAGACTAGGCATTTTTGTTTTGTTGACCACTGCGGTGTCACGAGCACTCAGGACAGTGCCTGACAGGAGTACTACGGTTGTTTCATGATTCGTCACTAAAGTTAGTGGTATCAGACTTTCTGATCTGGTTGAGGAATTTATTAAATACCAAATGCATAAAGCTTCAACACCAACTTTAATATTTTTCTAGCTTTGTTTTGCTTTAATCTCACTGAAAAATGGGAAGATGTGAATGTGTGTGTGCTAGAGTGAATTTCGAAGAGCGAGTGCCCCTTAATCCCTTCTGGAGGCCCTGTGTTCACAAACGAGCTAACTCGTTTATGTGAAGGGTAGTCTGGCTAATCTAGAAAACAGGACCGGTTTGGTTTGATCATGGTACATTCAGTTGGGCGCATTGGTGATGTGAGCAGGTTTTCCCTTCCTCGGCCGTATGACAGCCATTAGTCCCGTACTGGTTTAATTTGGGTTCGTTGGTGTAGAAGTTGTATTCCCACCGCAGCGATAGAGCCCCCGGAGCTCATCTAGTCATTTCCTGGGTTCACATGTTCGGGAACAGTACATAGAAATACACACCCATTCATCTTGCACATTCGAAATCGCCATTTTCCCGCTCTTGAGAAGGACTCCAGATATTTTCTGCTTTCTGTAATTAGGTCGAATACTACCTATGAAACAGTGACTCTTGCCTCGATTCTTTGAGGAAATGTAGGTCCTAATGGAATTTATGAACCAACCTTCTCTTGGACCATGATTTTTTTTTTTAAGACAGGCAGTGTCTGCGACATTTGTCTTGCAAGCAGGCCCCCTCACCTCCTCTTGGTCCGTTGTCACAGGTGAGAAGCCGTACAAGTGCACCTGGGAGGGCTGTGACTGGAGGTTCGCGCGCTCGGACGAGCTGACCCGCCACTACCGGAAGCACACGGGGGCCAAGCCATTCCAGTGCGGGGTGTGCAACCGCAGCTTCTCCCGCTCCGACCACCTGGCCCTGCACATGAAGAGGCACCAGAACTGAGAGCCCCGCCGCGGCCTGCCGTGCCTATGCAATTCACACTGACCGCCTGCAGTTCCTCTGGCAATGGCAAAGTTTTCAACTACAAACTTAACCTATATATATATATATATATATAAAAAAAACAAAAAAAAAAAACTGGAAATGTATATTTTGTATATTTGAGAAAACAGGGAATACATTGTATGAATACCAAAGTGTTTGGTCCTTTTGAGACTGGAATGCTTGCTGTAATGTATATGGCTTTACTCAAGCAGATTTCATCTCCTGACAGGCAGCCACATCTCAGTGTGGGTAGGGGGGTGGGGGTGCAGGGTGTGTTCGCAGTGTTTCTACCTAAGCACCATCATTTAACGTGACAGTGTTTAGTAAACAAGTCAGTTGGCAGGCACAGGAAGAAGGCTGGATTGTATGTCAAGATTTTACTTGACATGGAGTAGGTTTTGTTTTGTTTTGTTTTTTTCAATATTAGATAATTCCTTAGAGGTGCGCAGTGTACCTGGCCATTCACAAATAGCCATTGAACAAATGTGTTTTTTTGTTTGTTTTTATATGAGTTGCCTGTATTTGCTATTCAAAATTTTGTAAATAACGCAGATCAGCTTTATAGGTTTATTACAAGTTTTCTAAGATTCTTTTGGGGGAAAATCATAATTCTGTTTGAAAATAACCGTGAATACCTTTACAGTTAGAATTTGTGGTAAAATACCTCTTCAAACCTCACCAAATTCATTTCTTTAGGAGGAAGAAATCATCATTCAAATGAAACTTAAAAAGCAAATTCCATGCACTGATTAAAATACTATTGTTTTAAATATGAAAGACGTTTTATATGAATTGTGAACTCAAGAGCTTAAAGATACCATACATAAAAGTTAAACTGCTAACAATAAGCTAAACAGTATCATTTTAAAAAAGGACAACTTGAGCTCTCACGTGGCAGTGTTGAATTTATGATGCAGTTTTCAGATACCAAAATGTTTGCTCGTGCAGTACTGTTGGATGAACGACAATTTATATGGATTTTGCATGTAATATACAGTGAGACACAGTAATTTTACCTAAATTACAGTGCAGTTGAGTTAATCATTGTTAATACTGACTCAGTGTCTGCCTTTAATTATAAATGACATGTTGAAAGCATAAGGAAGCAAGTGCTACGTATATGCAATGTAATAGTAATGTGACGCTGATGCTGTTAACCAAAGGGCAGAATAAACAAGCAAAATGCCAAAAGGGGTCTTAATTGAAAATGAAAATTTAAGTTTGTTTTTAAAATATTGTTTATCTTTATTTATTTTGTGGTAATATAGTAAGTTTTTTTAGAAAATTTTCATAACTTGATAAATTATAGTTTTGTTTGTTAGAAAAGTTGCTCTTAAAACGTGTAAATAGATGACAAACGGTGTAAATATTTTGTAAGGCTTCAAAATGTTTATACGTGGAAACATGCCTACATACAAAGCATAAATTGGTTGCTGTTTTGCTTCTTTTCCCCTCTTATTTTTGTATTGTGGTCATTTCCTATGCAAATAATGGAGCAAACAGCTGTATAGTTGTAGAATTTTTTGAGAGAATGAGATGTTTATATATTAACGACAATTTTTTTTGGAAAATAAAAAGTGCCTAAAAGATTCATGTTTTGCCTTCCTTCTTCACCCACAATAGCAAAAACAGCAAATTCCATTCCCAAAACTATTTAAAAGGGTCTGTCTTATCAGGGCAGTTAATAAAAAAACAATTCCCACATTGAACCAAAGCTACCTTTGTTTAAAACAAAAAAAGGGGTTTTAAGAAACACGATTACAAGTATAAAGGCAGATACACACACATAGTTCATGAATGTTGATTTTTTTTTTTTTTCCTGGTCACTACACAGACACACATTGCATTAACCTTTTCAAGACCGTAGAGGTAACTTGCATATGCTAGTTTTTTTTTTTTAACTTTATTTTTTATTTGTTTGAGAGAGAGAGAAGGAGCAAGGGGAGGGGCAGAGGGAGATGGAGAAGCAGACTTGCCTGCTGAGCAGGAAGCCCGGACCTGAGCAGAAGGCAGAATGCAGATGCTCAACTGACTGAGCCACCCAGGTCCCTGCATATGCTAGTTTTATTGTCTGAGGTAAATAAAACGAATTGGGCTTTCAACCAAGGAAAAAAAATCACGAAGTTTAATGCAGTAGCAACAAGCACACCTAGGGGTTTTTAATACCATTTTCCAGTAAAAAGGATGGGGCTCCTTAGAGAAATGGCTGATTCTAGGACTGGGTTAGGAAGTGGACAAAATGAGCCTGGAGCATTTGACAGCACCAGGAAGTAAGGAAGCCATTCAAATCCCACAATGATGGCAGGTATGTCAAGGCAACAAAAAGTAGGAATGGGGGCGCCTGGGTGGCTCAGTTGTTAGGCGTCTGCCTTCAGCTCAGGTCATGGTCCCCGGGTCCTGGGATCAAGCCCCGCATCGGGCTCCCTGCTCAGCGGGAAGCCTGCTTCTCCCTCTCCCACTCCCCCTGCTTGTGTTCCCTCTCTCGCTGTCTCTCTCTCTCTGTCAAATAAATAAAATCTTTAAAAAAAATTTTTTTTAAATTAAAAGTAGGAATGAATTACAACCCAGAGTATAAAACAGCCATGAGCCCATACTGAAATAACTGAGTAAATAAGAGAGGAGACAAATCCGCAGAATTCCAGTTTTTGCAGACACTACCCTGAGAGGTAGAACATAACTCCCCACTCCTTGAAGTGCATGTTGCGCAGAAGGCGGTATGGCCAAGAGGGGAGGGAAAGTAGTGCAGAAGCCGCCCAACCCCACCCAACAGCCTCAGCCAGGTGGTCAAGGTCCACATCAGCAGTGACAAGTCATGGTTGTACATAATGTGACAAGAATGGGACTTTGCCTCTGCCGTCTTCCTTCCTGTTGGAAACATGTAACCTCAGTCCAGTCCAGACAAAGCCCAGTTGAGGGACATTCTACAAAACACCAATACTCAAAACTGTCAAGGTCTTGAAAACCAAGAAAATGTGAGAAACTCACAGCCAAAAGAAGCCTGAAGAGACATGACTATAATGTCAACTAACTGGGATTCTGAAACAGAAAAAGGACATTAAGCAAAAACTGAGGAAATCTGAAAGTACAGAATTTAATGTATCAATAACATTGGTTCATTATGACAAAATGTATCATACTAATGGAAGATGTTAATAGGGGAATTCTGTATTATCTTTGCAGTAATGCTATAAAACTGGAATAAAACATTTATTTTTAAGAAAACTGAAGGAAAATCTGTGTCACTATTACATATGTTCAATAAATGGGAAAATCCCTGATGTAGGAGCTAAAGTGAAAATTGTAGTTACATGATTTGGCAACATCGGTTTATTCAGCTTCTCATCATTTGACTCATTCCTCCCTGTCATTCAAGTAATACCCAGCTCAAGAACACTGCACAATGCATTCTCTAGCTGGAGCTTCTCATTCTTTCATGAGGGAAAACATAATTTCTTTGGCTTAATTTTATTTCTAGAAATTGAGATCGTAAGGCTGCAGGCTTCTTAAAGTAAAGACAACTCCCTATGTTTAGTAACAAATCAGAGCTGTATCAGTATTAAGTTGTAATTGATAATTGTATGAATGCAGAAGCTTTCTTGTAAGTAGAAACCAGTCTTGCTTTGGCTCCCGGCACTTAATTGTATTTAGCTTCTTAACACAGAGGATGGCTGTTTCCAGTTCTTTTTACCTCTCTGAACTCTTTTTTTTTTTTTTCCCCTTTTGTAGGCTGCCCTTTCTCCTTTCAGGCCAGCTACCTGTTCCAAGCCCTTGTCTGCCAAAGCTCAGTTCAGACCCTCTGTCTTTATTAGCCACACTCACTGGAACTTGTTTTTTTATTTGGAAACACTATGGTACTTCAGCATTTGAATTATTTTCCGACTTCTATCATATGTTTTTCTTCCTCAAATTGTCAAATCTTTGGGAGAAATGCCACTCCTAGATTGCCTTTGTCTTCCTGCTTTTATTGATTGATAAGTCAGATGTCAAAAAATAACTTTATGGTGCTGTGTGAGTTGTCTTAAGCCTGGAGTAATTGAATCAATGTAATGTTTGCCAAATTTCCTCCTCATGTTGTACTATTGATAGAGTGTTGGTGTTGGATTTTTGATAAGGTATGTGACTGAAACTGATTATACTGTGAGCAAACAGGTAATGCTTTGTGAATTTTTTTAACAGTAGTGAGTTTTCAAGGGAGAGTTATTGTACACAACTATGTTTAACATACTTTTCAAAGCTACAGGTAATTTAATTGCTGATCATCAGCATGTCCATTACATGAATGCCTGGTTTCAAACATATTCTGACCAATCTCTTGGTAAACAAGCTACCCCAACTAGACCAAAACTGAGTAATGCATCAGGTTCCGATTGACTAGAATGCAATTAGGTAATTTGATTTCAAGTTAGTAATGCTCTGAGTTTTAAATGTCTTCTGTTAGTTTTTATTCTCCCCACCCCTAACCCCAAGTTAGCTTGTTTGGTTTTGCTTCATTTTGTCATTTCATTCCTGTGTTGCGGTTTGTGTAAAGTGCATCACTTCATGGCATCCAATTAGAGAATCCTTAGATAAGCATGACCTGGCCTGCCTACATAAAAATGTTCTTCAAAATCTAGCTAGATTCCTTTTCCTATCTTCAGCTAAGCCCACCAGAGCTCTTTGGATTAACTCATGGGCCATAACATAACAAAGAGGGGCTTTATTCTCCATTACTAAGTCTGGTCTCTACTTTGAAGTTGACCAAATTCCTTCCTTGGTTATATTCTTCACTGCAGTGTGAAACTAATCAATAGGAGACTTTTAAATTTAATTTTTTGTTATTCATACCAGAGTTATAGGTGACAAAACCTGGCAATTGTGTGATACTCATTTTAACAGTGACAAGGGATAAAAAGCATAATAAATGACATGAGAGCTATCTGTGATAGGAAGTTTGTTATATTCTTGTAAACCAGCATTCGTTATCTATTCCTCTCAGTGTGTATCACCTCATGAAAGCATTTGGGGTCATGGAAATGGTCATATTCTTGAATTGAAAGTAAAAGCTTAATGCTATTTGGCCACTGATGATATTTAAATGATGATATATATGTAAAGAATTGAATAGGAAACTAAGAAGTTCATATAGACTTTGAGTAAAAATGGTAGATACATGCATCTCATTTTGCAGCCTCTTAAAACCCCACTAAAACAAAGGACCTTTTTCCTCCAAGGCAAACTTTATGAGAAGAACAGGAAAATAGAAACACAAACCTGAGGGAGCTGGAAAGAGCTAGATAGAAGAGGCAACAAGCTGAGCAGAACTGAAAAAGCTAAATTTTTTTTTAATTTTAAGATTTATTTATTTTCCGGCAGTGGGCAGAGGGAGAGAGCATCTTAAGCAGACTCCTTGCTGAGCACAAGGAGCCCGACACAGGGCTTGATCTCATATCCCTGAGATCACGACCTGAGCTGAAACCAAGTCAGACGCCTAACCAACTGTGCTACCCAGGCACCCCAAAATGAAATCTTAAAGTAGTGGAAAAAACCAGAAACTAACTCAATTCTAACCCCCCATAAAAATCCCAAAAGATCTCAAGAATTCATAGTATTGAGTACTCTTGGAAATGAAGCTAAAATACAATTGTTAAAAACTTGTCTAAGAAGCTGTTAATTCCTTGGTCTCTCCCCATACACCTCCACAGTAACATACACTGTGAATTGGGAATAACCAGTTAGTCTCCACCCCAACAGAAGAATGCAGGTTATTTGGTTATTCACGGGAGAAAGTAAAGACAGGGAGTCTCTAAATTAGTAGACAACAGGCCCAGCTGAGGGCAGGAATGACAAACAGAAAAAGGGAGAGTTGAATGAATGTGCATATTGGTTGCTGGAACCTGTTCCTCTTCTCTTCCCCATTTGGTTCCCAGGATGATGGAGACAGAGCCTTTATTCTCCAGGCAGGATAAAGTCTTCAGAATGGACCAGCCCAGGAAGAAAGATCAAAATATACTGAAAATCCCAAGTTCTCCAATAACATGGCTCAGTCAGATCACTCAAAGAAACCCACAGAGGATTAGCTTCACACAAACGCTCAGAGCTTCCAGTCTTTGGTCCCTCACTATTAAATATTTACAGACAACCAAGAATTACCAGATATCTAAGGAAACCATCTAATAGGAAAGAGAAGAGCAACTTGGAGAAACAAGACTCAATGTAAGGTGGGTGAAATATTAAAAAGAGCTAGTGTTAATAGCCTCAGAGATAGAAGATATTAGAATTATGAAACAGGATGTTCTAAATAACATGCAGAGGACAAAAAATTAAAATGGGACATATGAGAGCAGGAAGGAGAGAAACAAATTTGAACAGAGAGATGTAAAAGAAGACCAGTAAATTAGAGTTCAAATCTAAGAGCCTTATTGTCTAAACAGAAGTTCCAGAAGGAATAGAAAAAAGGAGAGAGGAATAGAAATTAAGAGAATAATTCAAGTAAATTCCTTGCAACTAAAGGACATGAATTTCAGGAGTGAAAGGTTTTTGAGATGCCCTAACACCAGTGTAAATAGATCCACATCAGTATGAAACTTCAAACCCTGGGACCAAAAGAAGT